GAAGTATTTGGCTACTCCAAATGCTGGATGTGTCTGTTAACAACCTCCATATTTGCTTACTGAACATTGCTTTGGTTGACAGACTTTACTCCAAGAGATTGTGTGTCTAGAGGCTTTAGCTGAGTCTCCCCACCAAAATTCCCTAAATATTTTTTCTAGCTTAGAGCATGTGGATTGAGGGATAATTGTTGTAGCCATGGTGTAAATTGGTATGGCTTGTAGAACAGATTTGACCAAGGTGGTTCTTCCTGCTTTAGAAAGGAGTTTTGAGCTCCAAGAATTGGCTCTTGATGATCCCTCAATGACTTCTTTATGGGAGGAATGACTTTTTGAATCAACTTGGGTTCCAAGGTATTTGGTTCCAACCATGGTGTGAGAGATATGTAGAATATGGGAGAGAATCCTTCTGTGATGTCTAGGGGCATTACAGCTGAAGAATATGCTTCATTTGGAATAATTTATTTTCTACCCTGACGTAGCTTCAAAAGATTTTAGTAGGTTAACAAGGGATTTAACTTGCCCAACTTCATCTTTACAAAAGATGATACAGTCATTTACAAAGAAGAGGTCTGTCATTGGTGGGCTAGTCCGGATAATTTAAACTCCTTCAAGATGGCCCAATGACACAACATTATTCAATAGTTGGGTGAGGACCACCATACCTAATATAAATAAATATGGGGAGATGGGGTCACCTTGTCTTAACCCTCATTTCAGAGAAATGTAATCATGGGATTCACCAGCTATTTTGATAGAGAAGGAAGCAGTAGACATACACTGGTGTAATAGATTGTACCATTTATCTGGGAAGCCCATCTTCCTGAGCACATGATATAGAAAAGACCAACCCATACGATCAAATGTTTTGGACATGTCCAATTTGATTGCAATGTACTTTTTACCTCTAGACCGGAGTGTCATCTTGTGTAGTATCTCCTTTACTAACAAGATATTATCAGAGATTTACCTCCCCTTCAAGAAGCCAGATTGGTTAGAAGATATCAAATCTTGCAAAACAAGCTGGAGGCACAGTACCATCCATTTGGATATGATTTTATACAGCACATTGCATAAGCTAATGGACCTAAAACTTGAGACATCCACTGGCTTATTGTTTTGGGGGACAAAAACCAAATTTATGTTATTTATTTCTTTTGGCAGGAATTCTGTATCATAGAATTTCACCACCATGGAGTAGATGTCATGGCCAATTAGGCTCCAGAAATGCTGAAAAAAGAATGGTGTAAAGCCATCAGATCCAGGTGCTTTATGAGGATTAAATTATTTAATCACTTTTGATATCTCTTCAAAGGATGGAGGGACTAAAAGAGTGTCCTAATGATGAGTGGAGAGGGTGGGGAGGTTTATACCATTTAATAAAGCTGGATGAAAGTTTTCTGGTTGCCTCCCACTTCAACAAGAGCGTCCTTAAATATCTAGAATATGGATGGCCGATTTGAGGTCCAGGAGCCATCAGGGCATTTTATCCAATCAATATTATTCTTTGAATTTTGAAAGTTAGCAATGTGGTGAAAAAATTGTGTTTTTGTCCCCTTCCTTTAACCATAGCTCCCTTGACTTAACTCTCCACAACTGCTCCTCCTTGAGCAACCAATAGTTGTATTGGTTTTTAAGAGAAAGAAGTTCTCTTTGCTCCTCTTCTGTTAAGGCTCTCATTTGTAATTTTGATATTTGGTTAGTTGTTTTCTGGATGTGACTTTGTATTTGACCAAATTGGGTTTTATTCCAATGTTCAAGAACAAGTTTACAGGATTTCAATTTGGTGATAACTTAATGAACAAGAGAGTCGTGTATGGGCTGATTCCATGAGTCAGAGATTATTTCCTTGCATCCAGAGTGATCAACCCAAAATGGCATAAAATGAAAGTGGGGTTTTCTATGGGGAGAGGATGGTGTAATGTCCACTGATATGGGCCCATGGTCAGAATTGATTATTGGAAAGTGACGAAGGATGGTATTGGGGAATAGTTAACACCAAGAGGGGGTATGTTTGGTCCCTTTTGGCCATTGGTCCATGTGAACTGGGGCCCCATAGGGTCAAAGTCAATTAGACCAAATGTGCAAATAAAGTTTTGCAAGTGCTTGGAAAGGTGAGGTGGGCTATGTTTGAAGGACTTGTGGTCCTCGGTCTTGTAGATGTCATTTAGATCACCCATAATGATCCAGGGGGAATGAGTTGTTGCTTGGAGTTGGGTAATATCATCCCATAGGTTTCTTTAGAGGTGTCTAATGGGGTGGCCATAAAATAAAAGGAGTTGTCAGGGTATATGAGAAGGATAATTTAGGACTTGTAGATAGAGTAAGTGGGTATTAACATGAATAGTATTGACCAGGTTGAATTTATCCAGTAATAGAGGAGGCCACCAGAATGATCGGATGCCTCTTGGAAGACAAAGTTATAGAATCTCTTTTTTTTTTGCTAGTCGGGAGCTATTTTGAGCCGAGAGTTTGGTTTCCAAAAGGAATAATAGGTCGGGTTTTCTTTTTTAATGAACATTATTAGCTCTCGGACCTTTTTATTATCGTTAACACCTCTAATGTTCCACGAGATGATTTTCATGTTAATGGACAAAAGAGATAAATAGGTAAATAACATAAGCAATAGTTTATAAGTGGCTATAGCTATGAGATAGTACCTGAGAGCACTGATCACATTGATCCATTGGAAGCATGGAAGCAACCATGTTAGGCAGGGGGGATGTCTCGAGGTTGTTCAGTTGTCTTAGCAAGTGGGAGGTACCGGTGGATGGATCCTAAGGTTGCGGAGAAGCCAGAGCTGGAAGGATCAATGTGGTTTGCGCTAGTACTCTCTCAGGTGGGATAACTTGGCCGGTGAAGTAGTCAAACACTTGTCAGTTACGAATAGCCAGGAGAGTGTTTGTTGGCATATCCATGTGGTAGCATTTCGACTTGCCACGCTATCGTTTCCCAGTAAGAAGATCAATAGTGCCTAGATTGCCAGTTTTAGTGCAATAGTGGGCAATGATGGATGGTTTTGAGCTGTCGAAACAAATAACATTCAGCTCTAATGCATGAAGAGAACGTGTCAATTTTTGCTCGTGCATGGCACATGCATGCAAGATAAGTGGCGCTACTTGACTATTCACGTGCCCTTCATGCGAGTTTGAATGGGACTCCATTGGGACAGGTGTCGGCTGTTCATTGGGAACATCTCCCGTGAATAATAACTTATAAGTACGGGGGATGTTCCCAATGCATGGTAGGATGTGTGTGTGAGGTCGGTGTGAGGCGTCCTGTGTGAGGAGCATATCCGATCTCATTTACTACATAATGTGGATAATTAATTTCATGTCCATGCCATGAAAATATGTTTTAGTAGTCAAATCTAAGTGTATTTTCATTGTTTTATCCTTTTACCTTTAAGGAGTAATTTGAGCTCAGTCCACCTCATAATTTCTAATGCCATCCACAATAAGGGGGAAAGATTCCCAATTCACGGGGAATGGTGTTTATAGAGAGTTGGCGTAAATGCATTTGAGAAATCAATAAAACAATTCTGATGTGGACTGAACTCTAAAAAGGCCTACCTTTGATTGCAATGGTGGAAATTGCCTTTGCATTAATCATTAATTTAGAAAAAAAAATGAGATGTATCATGAATCACCCTTAGTTTTATAGTGAACATTTTCTTGTAAATGGGAATATAACCCCATCATCTCAAATTTGAAGATTATAATGGAAGAAAAAAATATGATTAAAAACCTAAAAAAGTACAAAGGCATAGAACATAACATGGATACTAGGGGTACAATTTAGGCGGGCTCAAGCTAAGCCTGGACTGGCACAGCCTACAACTTTACATAGGTTGGGCTTGGATTTTTTATCCTCAAGTTGGGCCCAAGTCCAAAAATTTGAGCTTTTTAAATTTTTTGGTTAATCTTAGGCCTTGTTTGACCTTATCCCAACTTGAGCCTGTCCAAATTATAAATTATGTACATATATAGACACATATTTAAATACAAAAAAAAAGATTTATATGCATACATGCATATATGCATATTCTTTTTTTAATAATTCATACATATATACATGCATACATGCATACATACATACATACACATACATGTATATTAATTTTTAGTAAGAGCTAATTGGTCAATCTAAATTATGTCTGTCTTGAGCCCAACCCAAGTGCATCAAATTTTAATGCTGGCTAGGCTTGGGTTGGATTTTGGTTGAACTAATACCTACTGTAATGGATATATGGCATATTTTACCTCAAAAATGGTTTGGAGAAATGGTAGTTTGTGGAGTTTTTGTTGATGGCATTGGATTTGTGGTGGGGGAGGAGAAAGCAGATAAACATAAAGAAATTCTGTAGTCACTTCTCAAATTAAAATTTTATTTAGAATAAAGAATAAAAAATAAAGTAGTCACCTTCACCTAACTCACCTTTTTTTATACAAATTCAGCTACATGAATCCTATTTTTCCATAATTTGGTTATGGATTACTCTTGCCCATATAACATTATATTCCAGAAAATGTTATAACATGAACACAAAAAGATTAACCAAAATCTATAACTATAAAATTTTAAAACAAAAGTTTTAATACAGGAACACCAATATCACACAATCCTCCTTTATCCAGGCTTAGACCAATGAAATAAAATTCATAGCGGCCAGAGTTACAAATTCTAAGCTGCATAAACAGATAGTATTCACAATTGATCAAATTATAAATAGATCAAATTTAGATCACCCTTAATCCAATTGAACTTGAAGTCAAATCGAGACAAATGGAATTACTGTGCTAAAGGAGACGTGGAAAAAGATGGAAAGGGAGAGGCTCTGGCCTCTGGTTATCTACCATATACATGGGCTGGAATTGGATCGACAACTGGAAAGCAACCGTGCAGTGCAATGCAAGTTATTAATAATGTAATCCTCTGCCTCTGGCTCACAATAATCATTCATTCCCCGACAAAACGAAAGAGGAGAGGAGCAAGAGGAAAGAGGGGTTTTGTCTGTTTTTTGCTCAATATTCCATGAAACAATATAAAACTATTCTCAGGGAGATCATATCGACCCTGAACTCGCCAGGAATCAAATCAAAGCCGATCACCCACATTTCCACATATTGACATACCCAGACTGAGGTGTATACACAGATTGATCACCTCGTCGGTGCTTATAGACACAATTGGTGGGCCATTCTGTATATACTTTTTTAACCTGACAATCCAATGGATGATTCAGTTCAGTTGCCTATCAATAACTACACAATGGTGCTTATTCAGTTTGTGTTCAAGGATGCATGTGAATAACTGTAAGTAAAATTACCAATCAATGATTTCCTGAAATGGCTCAGATTGAACCGAACCGGGTGGTGGGATTTTTTTTTTTTTTTTTCCTTCTTAACTGAAAATCAGACCTTCCAGTCTTTTACTGGAAATCAACTACTCGAGAACATTGGACCATGTCTAGTCCATTCCCCGAACTCAATAACTCCGGCTAAGGCGGGAATCGAAGTATCGAACCCAAGACTCCGCTACAACCAGCTAGAGAGCTTACAACTGGGTCAGTTTCAGTTAACACCTTTCTTATCTCTACTTATTTGAAGTCTTTGAAGTTTGTCTTTGCTTTTCAACTCCCTATTACCCTCTCCAAATTTCTCGGTCACCCCTCTCGTCCCTCGGCGGCCGGCGAAGATGACCGCGTGGCACCAGGACGGCAACGTGCTATCACTGTGTGTATGTATGAATTATGATACTTATGAGCTCAACGAGGGTTTGACAAATCTCTGTAATTCTGTACAGCGTTTTACCATCGCGGGTAAAGATTTCTATCAAGTATTTATCTTTTTTTTCCCTTGTTTTTGTTTGACAGATAGATCTATGAAGTATTTATCTGATCCTGGTTTTTAAATGGGCGCCACAGTCACTCTCGTCTTCCAATGTACACAAAAACCTATAAAAAGATAGAACAAAGGCATCACTCTGTCTCTAATAAATTAAATTAAAGGTCAAGATCCTACATCTGAGACTCTCTTCCCTCCTGTTCACTATTATATGTAGGCTCAGTCATACATCCTGTAGTGCATACATCCTTTCATCCTATCTCTGTCGCAGTGTCGCCAATGGCCGAAGCTCATATACAAACAGAACAAACTCCCGCACAAACCCCTCTCCTTGACCCAGAACAAACACAAGAAGAAGTTGAGAAGGATACCCAACTCGATCAAGCCCTCCAACGGTTGGAAACTGTTCTCTGTTTTCTCGGCTTCCACCAGTCCTCTCTCTTGAGCATTCTTTTCTCTTGGTTCATATTTCTTCTTGTGGGTGTTTCAATCCCGGTCGTGGCACTCCAGATCTCGCGCTGTTCCGACTGTGAAAGGTACCAGATCAACAAATTCGAGCTCCATATCCTCGTCTCCGAGGCATGCCTTGCTGCTGTTTCTCTACTCTGTGTTTCTCACAATCTTCGCAAATATGGTATTCGGAAGTTTCTCTTCGTTGATCGGTATCACGGACATATGAGCAGATTTCGCAAGGAATACATCAGGAAGATCGAGGTAAGAAATACCCACTTACACGTTCTTTTTTTTCTTGATTTTAGTTCATGCTGTTCTATTGAAAAAGTCTTCCCATCTCCCTCTTTTCTAGTTCTGGGTTTGTTCCGAGATAGATGGTTAAATTTAGATTTTTAGAGGAACTAAAGAAGTAGTTCGATTGTTCAACCGATAGTATGGGGTGATTTTTTTTTTCGTTTTGTCATTTATTGCGTACTCTCTAGCATATTAACTACCAGGATGTAATCCTCTAGCTAATCTACAATATAAGAAACATCATACACGAGGAAAACAAAAGATCGAAATAGCCAATAATGACTTCTTTGCTTGGTTTAAATTAACGTTTCATTGAACTTTTATGTTGCCTTTCGGGTTTCATCGTCATCAAAGCCTTGCCCAATTATGGACACTAAATCATTTCTTATTAGTTCTACCAAAGTCCTTCCCCGTCTGTCCCTAGCTGGTCGGGCCACTTCAACTTGTAACAGATCACTTCTCAGGTGCTGTAGATGGTCATCTATACACGTGACTAAACCATCTAAGGCCCTGTTTGGTTCGTGGGAGGGTCTGGAATTGGAATCAGAATGGGCTTATTCCGATTCCAACTGTTTGGTTGGATGGAATTGGAATCCCGTTCCCATTCTTGATGGAATGGCATTCCCCCATTTGAGGGAATGGCCATTCCCTGCCCCTCCCTTGGGAATGAAATCTCATTCCTGCTGATTTCAATTACCATTCCCATTCCTGTCTGAACCAAACAGACTAAGGGAATGGACCATTCCCATTCTGATTCCGGAGGATTTTGATTCTGATTCCAATTCTGAATGCGAACCAAACGGACCCTAAGTCTAATTTCCCATTTTATCACCTATTGGAGCTAATCCTAGGTTCTTTCATATGAATTCATTTCTAACATGTCCTTTCTAGTTTTACCGTTCATCCATCTAAGTCTTTTGGGTTTGTTTTAAGCAAATATTTCAAGTTCGATCTAGAACACTGTAGTATCTCAGGGAAGTCTGATCTTACAGTGGGATCAAAAGTTAAAGGAATTTTTTTTCCTCTGCAAAGGAGATTACATTAGTTTATGGGCAACCTTCTGTTTGTTGTTATTTCTTGAAGGAAAATTCTCCCTTTGGTACTAAATTACTAATTGTTGGGAAGTGATTTTCTAGCTGATTTCTAACTATATCTATGGAATTTCTAGATGGATTCCAAGCATTTGCCACTCCATGCCATCAGGTTTGTTAAGGCAGGATTTCCAGATCGACATTGACTGCGTATAAACACATCCTTTACACCCAAACAATGAAAAATGATAGATGCAACATTGCGATAATAGAATGACTTCCAAATTGTTTCTTAGAGCTTGGAAATGCAAGCATAGCATTCAGGATCATGTTCCTGCCTCCTGGTCTTTTTTCTTATATTATGTCCTGTAAAACTTTGAAGTTGTAGTTATCAACCATGACCAACACATTCAGTTATTTTACTTTTATTTTCACTGAAGCTATTCTATAAGTATTTGATATTTTTTACTGATTATTTGTTGATCAGCAACTGACTGCATTGAGGATTTGGTGGGCTTGTTTATTCGATTCTAAGCAAGTTTGATTGAATTTTTTTCCCTAGGATTTTTTTTGCTTGCTTGTTTTATGGATGTTACCATGCTTCCTTCTGAAGACTGCTCGTGAAGTAATCCGTGCTATATACGTGCGTCATGAATCCTGGTGGCAATCTGTTGCTATCTTTTTGGCTCTGGTTGTGTCATGGACATATTTGACTACAATATTCCTATCTGCCTGCCTTCTGTTCAGTTTAGTATGCAATTTGCAAATTATCCACTTTGAAGATTATGGCATGCTTCTGGAAAGGAATCATGATGTATCAGTATTTATTGAGGAGCATATTCGCCTAAGGCATCATCTATCTAAAATAAGTCATAGGTTTCGTATTTATCTTCTTCTGGCATTCTTAGTTGTGACAGCAAGTCAATTTGTGACACTGCTCCAGACCACAGGATATCATGGAATCAGTTTTATCAATGGGGGAGACTTTGCAGTAAGTATTGAAGTAGATATTTTCATTCCTAGATGGCCCAAGAATGGGGATTTTCTATTAGCAATGATCTAAGGTCCCATCCTAAATGTTGTAAGTATTGTCTATAAAGCTATACACACAAGGAAATGAGACTACCAATCAAATCTAATCTGAGAATAAGGAAATAAGACTACTAATCAATCTAATCTGAGAAATCTCCAACAGCAGAAAATACAGTTCACTGGAATCAGTATTGTAATTCTCCATCCTATAAGTATCCTCATTTTTTTGCTATATCTTTTGACTGTTAAAATTATATACCTGAACTTCACAATTATCCAATCTGGTTGGTTTTCAGAGAGAGGAGATCTACCAGATTGGTATAGCTGTAAGACTAATTCTAACATCAGCCCTTATGTCAGAAAAAGCCAAAACATAAGACCCCACGTGTATTTTCAGAAACTTCCTTTTTTACATTTTGTTATTTTGTGATTTAAGGGTTTGTGATGCACATTGTAGTTTGCAGTGATGCATTGCTTTAGATACATTTTCATAATCATCAGACATGTAACTTGTATACGTATTTATGTATATAATGTTTTTGATCTGATGAGACGTAATTTTTGTATGGTGGCATTACGTTTTCTTTTTCTAATATTAAAATGCTTATGATTTGAAACTAGAAAGAAGGGCATAAGAAGAAATGAACCCCAAGTTAGCACCCTTAAGTTTGTAGATGGATTGGAAGAGCCCTGTTATGGACGCCTTCCTCGGGAAGACGTACCATCGCCGCTGGCAGCAACAGGCCCCGGGCCCACCGCCAGCAGCAGCAGCAAGGATTCAGTGATGCTCATCCTACCCAGTTCGGCAACAGCAGCCTTATCTAGATTA